CTGAGAAGGAAATAGACTAAACAGAAGATTCCATGTGAAAGCTCGGTATAATTAGAATCAATCTACAAAACGGCTAACAACATGAGAGAAATCTCTTCAACTAAACTAAATCAACAGAACTTACCAAATTCCTTTTCAACATTTGTTGTGTAACATGTTCCAGAGTATACAGATCCATTTTTCAGCTGAACTTCCACAGGATGCCCAATAAGACAAGTTGTTAAATATATGAGCCGTTCACGCGAAGGACTCTCATAAACTCCAACTTTTCCCATCGCACCTATATCACTATTGTTAGAACAGAATATATAATCTAGAGTGACAAGTGCTTCAGGCCATGAGAGATTACCAGCATTACCAGATCTATTGGTATGTGGTTTTCCAGATTGCACCTTATTTTCAAACCTCGTCCCCCAATCCCTTTCAGCTCTCCGACGACCAAAACCATTAGCAGAAGATTTGGGATGCATAGCCTGTTGCAAATTCGTCTCAACAGCAGCACCCTCTTCTGACAAACAAAAACATGTTTGAAATCAGTTCAGATCATTGGGATACAGTATGGCACCAAAGATGAGTGTAGATCCCTTGAAAGCACTTATAGATGCAGTAGCAAACAGGTTGTAGGGGGGGGGCGGGAAGGTACATCAAAATTTTCCAAGCACGTGGAGGCAATATAAACTTAGATAAAGAAACATTAGAAATATAACTTTACCCATCCCTGACATGTTTGAAACAAGTAACTTGTTCAGATACGTGGGTACATTGCAGTTACTGATTTAGCACTTGCATAATAGACAAGATTTTACCAGGCTCCTAAAAGATGTGACAATTTTCAAAGGGTTAACTACATATGTTTTATTCTATTCATTTATTAATCTTCGCAATATGGGTTATTATCCACATCATTCTTTTACATGCACCTTTAAATTAGTATATAACACATAGACAAGTGCCAATACACAACTTAGGAAAACTAAGATTACCCAATACCAGCAACTATATAGCTCATTTCCTCAAATCTAGAATAGCCTCGTGCCAACAAAAATCCCATTAGTTCAGTTCCTTCCCGTCGCTCTCATTTCAGAATTCTTACCCCCTGACTTCCACTACTATTTCTTCAGTCTTGCTCCTAATCTTATAAGAATGCATTCTCTAACCAGTCTCAACAGACCTTTGAATTTATAATTAATTTCTTAACCCTTAAGCCAAAAGATCACCGTTCCCGCCACTAAAAAATCCAGCATTAGTTGTCTTTAGAATTCCCAACTCCCTCCTTCCTAAACGATCAGAACTCCACAGCTCTTTGACATCAAGCAAATCAATCTGACAACCCTCAGGCATTTCATTTCACAAAATCAACAAATAGACAATATAACAGTATAAAACCCTAAGATCGGTGACAAAAGAAGGGCTGTATTAAAGTAACCCTAATGCAAAATTTGTTTACAGAACTATTATGCATGATTCAAAACTTAAGGCATTTAAATAATTCGAGTTTAAAGATATTGAAAGTGTGAGATCAAAGGAGAGAAAGAAGTAATTAACAAAAGGATCGAAATTTACCTGAAATAAGCTTTAATTAATTGAGCTGTAATTTGCTTTTGACGCGGCGTCGACGACTCGAGTGGTTGAGATCAGATACAGTGAGGTGAAGGATTGGGCTCGGTGAGTTAGGGTTTTTGTTTTTTTTTCTTTTTTATCACAGAGCACAAAATAGGAGGCGGGGGTGCATATGCATGTATTAGCGATGGGAAGTGAGCGAACTCCGTCTGATCGAGAGAGAGAGAGAGACCGTATGAGAGAGAGAGAGTTACAGGCGTGTGTTTTTTTAAAGAAACAGTGAAATATATAGAGAGGGCGACGACAAATTAAAAATTGAGGAAGAATGGTCGGTATAACGCTAGAGTGGTTGGTTATTCTTTTACTTTTAATCAGTCCCTGTGTATCGACTTGAAAGCTGATCGATCATCCAGTTAAAAACTTGAATTGATCTGCTAATTCAGTTGATTCGCATCTAACCTGAGTTTTCAACTCTTTGATTTTTTTTGATTTTTTTATAGAATTTTTAAAATAAAATATTTTAACACTGACCCGAGTTGACTATCCATAATTGTAATCTTGACCTTCACTTGCTTGTTTTAGCTAGGTTTCCAAGTTAATTTCAAGCATTAAAGATATACAACACTATATTTTCAATCACTTTAATAAAATTAATAAAAATAATTATAAAAAAACATTAAAAAAATAAAAATTTAGAAAGAAATAAAATAAAAAATATATAAGAAAAATTAAAGTTAAATTTTTAACTAGCACAATATTAAAATTATTTAAGAAAACATTATAGCAATGTATAATTTTTTTATGAAAAAATATACAATTACAATTCTCAACCAACTTAATATTAAAATAATCAACAAAGATAATTTTGATAAATATATAAAAAAAAACAATTTGAAAAATATTGTAACAATTTATAGTGTTTCATAAGAAAATCTACAATTGTAATTTTTAACCAACTCAATATTAAAAATAAAAAAAATACATTTGAAAAAAAATATATGGGGGAACACTGTAGTAAGGCAAAAATCATGTAGGAAAACACTGTAATAATTTACAATGTTTTAAATAACTGCAAAGCTAAATTCTCGATCAGTTTAATATAAAAAAATAAAATTGATAAAGATAATTATAAAAAAATTATTTAATAAAAAACTATGTAGAGAAACACTGGAGCAATCTAGTGTTTAAAAAAAAAAACTAAATTCTCAATCAGCTCAATAGTAAAAAAAAATCAACAAAAATATTTATATAAAGAAGAAAGACAATTTTGGGAAACATTTTAAAAAACAAAACATGGAAAAAGCTAAAATTAAGTTAAATTCTCAACCAACTCAATATTGAAAAAAATAAATTCAAATTTAAAAAAAAAAAAACATGTAGAGGAAACACAGTCAAACAAAAACCAAGGGAAATACTGTAATAATTTATAGTGTTTATTTTTAAAAAAACCTATAAATCTAAGTTCTCAACCAGCTCAATATAAAAAAAAAACCGTCAAGGATTATTTTTTTTTAAGAGTCAATTTTGGGTAAAAAACTAATTAAAAAATATATGGGGAAAGTTATAGTATTTTAAAGAAAAAAACTAAAAAATCAAATTTTCAACTAGCTCAATAGTAAAAAAAAATAATAATTAAAAAAAAAACAAAACAAAAAAAGAAAATATGTAAAAAATGACAATTTTGAAACAAAAACAAAAAAAAAAACATATGAGAAAAGCTAAAGCTAGATTATCAGCTAACTCAATATTAAAAAAATAAATTCAATAAAAATAATTTTAAAAAAAATATGTGGGGAAACGCTGCAGCAAAACAAAAACTATGTGGGTAAAATACTATAGTAATTCATATTTAAAAAAAAATTACAAAGCTAAATTCTCAACCAACTTAATATAAAAAAAATCTACAAAAACTATTTTAAAAAATAAATAAATCATAAAAAGGAAAAAAATAATGTATGAGAATACAATGTTTTAAAGGAAAAACTACATAATTAAATTTTTAACCAATTCAATATTTAAAAAAATTAGTAAAATTTGTTTTTTTTTAAAGAAGAAGTCAGGGTAAAAAAAGGGAAAAAAAACATGTAAAAAAAAAGAAACAAAAGTGAAAAAAAAACCTTCTACGGAATATTTGTTAATTTTTAGATATTATAATTTTATAATTAATAAATAAAAAGACAGTGTTTACTTTTTAATAAAATAAATTAATAAATATATAAACCAATAAATTAAAAAGGAATTATTAATGTTAATTAAATATTAAAGTGAAAATTTAATCTTCTTAATAAAAACAAAATATAAATACACATACAAATATTTAAATTTAAATTTTATTTTATTTATTTAAATTTATTTTATCTTAGAGGTTAATTGTGGTTGTTAAGGATAAATAATTTTTTATTTTTATAAATATATCATATAAATAAAGTTGTTTTGTACAAAATATAAAAAATATAAAGAAAATTATAATAGTCTTTTTGAAACATCATGAGATTGAAAACAATTTCAAACATTAATTATTTTTTAAATAGGTGAACTAAATAGTTAAAAAACAAGAGTGATGATATTAATTAAAATTTAAACAAAAAATTTAATCTAAAGTTTTGTAAGGAAAAAACATGACCTGTTTAAATTTTTTAATGTGAAATACAGTCGATTTTTAAAAAAACAAACAATGGTGGATGATTTATTATTCTCTCATCATTTTTAAATAGTTTTTTTATGACTGAAAAATCAAGATTTAAATTTTAATAGAAAAATATTTATTTTTTAATCTATTTTTATCTAAAAACACCTACATTTTAAAACCTTTATAAATGCAAATTCATTTCCAACTCAAAATAGCTTCTAATCTCTCCATAGAACAAAATTTAAATGAATAAAAAAGAAATTTTAAAAACTTTAATCTATTTTTTTAACATGATTAAAGACCAATATTATCTCCATTAAACTCTGTTTAAAAAGATAAATTTATTAACAACAAAATCAATATTTTTGATGGTGGGGAGGTGGGTTTTTTTTTTTTTTCCCGGATCAAGATGCACCGCTCAAGCATAACTTCAATGCATCATCTGCAGCTGCAAGAACAGTAGCGTCATATCTATCAGCATTCGTTTAGTGCAAGAAATGGCTCCATATATGCAGCCACCACAAACTCCATCGGGGACGGCAGTGGATTTCCATATTACGAAAGGTGCTAAGTTTGCTTTTCTTATGAAAAATCAGTCACAATTCAAAGATATTGAAGTAGGTTTCCAAATCCAAGAAAGACATTCTGAAAGCAGAAATAAATGGCGGTTTAATTCTCACAACAGGCAGAATTTGCAACATCTTCAATCATCCAATGTGGGAAAAATCTCAGATTCACATAACAACTTAGAAAAGCTGTAGTAAAAATTTGAGAAAAAAAATAAAATCTGTTGACGAGTCGAAGCACTGAATCCACCAAAAAAGAAGTACTATCTAATGATCTTGATTCTTGACAATTATTCGTGTTAGCCCTTGTGGAGAATAAAATGTAACAAGAGATTCAACACTTCTGATCTGAACCAAAGAAATCCGAAAAGGTAAACAATGCTTTTGGTAGTGATTTCGTGATTTTTCATCAACACTACAAACAATTAAAAACCTACGGAACCAGGACAAGTTACCTCGGTTTCCATTCCTTCCTTTGAATACATCGTTTTCATTTTTAGGAACACCAATAGAAGAATTATAAAAATGCAATGAATGAATACCAACGTATTAATAATCAAGAGCGAGAGACAACAAAAGTAGCAGCTGAATTCAGTTTAAATCCATCGATCCATCAACTTATAGCCAGCTCTGCTGCTTCCTTCACAATTACTTTCAAAGGAGAAATCAACAAGCTTCGATTTCATTGCCTACCTTGGCTTAGAGTACCGATGTTCAACAAGCACACAGAAGGTCTATCAAGAGTGAATCACTTCAGCTGTCTTCAAGCCTCGTACCTCTGCACAGATAAAAATTACCCAAGTTTCGGCCAAACTTTCTTCAAATAGGTAATAGGGACTGCCAAATTGAGTGCGGGTCTCACAATGAAATGGAAAGAGTATGAGTACAGATGAAGAAAATATTGGGGTCACATTACAAAACGTTGTAGACTTTGCTTTTCTTTTAAAAAAAATGAAAGGATATTAAGAGAAAGCTGATAGCTAATAGGACTGCCAAACCAACACGCATAGGGCAGCAGCATCTTGGAAACATAGACCACAAATCTGACAGTGGATGAAAAGAGCATGACATCAAAATGAAGGATCCAATACTGTTAAAAACCCATCCCATGAAGATTGACATCATCCATGACATGAATATGGAGCCACGAAAGCCTGGATGAGGCCTAATGTTGTAGCTTTGGTCCAGAGTAGATATTGCCACAAATGTCCAAAATCGAATACAAGAACTGGATGAACAGCAAGGGGCAAAAGAATAATGCACTCTCAAAAAGAAAACTTCTGAAGCCCACAATAAGAAGGTACATACCACTTGCAATCACAGTTGTAGATGGATCTTCTCAGACCACTTAAATATATCTGAATAAACTTGATCACCCCCCAACTCTTCTCCTGTAGCACCAGCTGCCACTCTCATTATATCCTCAATCAAAGCAAAGTTTCCCATTATATCAACGTGAGCACCACTTTGGGTGCCCCGACCTTCTAACAAGTTTGTTGGAGGAGAATGATTGTACTCTCTAATATGCATTTGACTTCCTGAAGGGTTGAATCTTGTTTTCCCACGCCAGCCTTTAGCACACATGAAGCCTGAACTTAAAACAGGAACAGTCTCGTCCCCATCAACAGTATAGACTCCACCTTTCAGACAGCTGTCTTCAAATTGTTCATCAGCTGATGAATCAATCTGAAATGGAATAGCACACTCTGCTGAAGGAGATAACTTGTAAACATAAGATCTTTCGGTTGGTATGCCCACTCCATACAGGGAAAAAACCTCCATTTCTGGGGCATTGGGCAATCTGTAAAACCAGAGTGAGAAGTTATCAGCAATCAATATGAAGACCTTGTATAGACGGCCATGATTAGGCCAGTCAATCAAGTAATTGAACATCATTCAAAAGAAATGAAAAAGATAATGATCCAGGAGGCTTGCTAGCAGCAAACATTTGAAATGGAATTCAAAAGAGGTTGTGTGACAACAAGGAAAGAAAAAAATCTTAGATATCAAGAACACAATGCTGTACAGGGCATCTACAACAATTGCATACTGGCATGTTATTAAAAGAACTGCATGTTTAAAAAAAATCTACATCAGATAATTTTCCATGTTTGGACTTCATAGTGTCAATTTAGCTTTTTATGTGGTGCAATAGTTATTCAAAATTGCCAAATTAATTCACAGGATTCATATCTCTCTGCACCATACATGCTGTAAATCAGTATAAATTTGAACCATCAAAGATTTGACTTTCTTAAGAAATGTAGCTATTTATGCTCACCACATTTATATATAAGCATATAACTGATGAAATGGGAGTGTATGAAGCACTATGACTAAATGCCATCATTGAATATATCACAAAACTATTGCCAAGAAGATTAACATATCACAGTTTCCATAATTGACTGGGCAGAAAGATCCTCACTTTGTCTCCAAAGGGTTTGACCAATATTTGTAGTGCTGGTATTTTGGATCGTCCAAATCATCAGCAATTCCATAAGAGAAATGAGCACTGCCACGCTCCATCATCTTTGGGGCAACAAAGTGCAGCAGATCTAGAATAGAACCAGCAGTATAAACCTTATATTCTGCAACAGCTTTAATACCTCCAAATCCCATGTCATGGTACTCCGTCCACACGTCACGACAGGAGGTGTTTGCAATACTTTGACCTTTAACAGCATCCTGCATGTTAAGATAACAAATGATGTATTTAATGAAAGAATTGGTGCATTCATTAATTTTCTTAAAGCTAAGTCTGACGTGTAAAAGCACTGAAACTCAGAATGAGAGAGATTAGTATATCTTTAAAGATACAGCCATCTTTTCACTAATTTAGGAAACAGATAAACTTACCCTGAAGTCAATCCTCTCAATGTCAGATGAAAGTGCCTCAGCTACATCCTTCCCAAAGGATATGATCCTTCCATAATTGGCTCTCCTTATTTCAGAGATCTTTCTTTCTGGGCCATCTTGGCTTGTTTTTTGTGTGTCAGTGTTTTTTTGCTTTCTCTTAATAGGAATATATCCTTCCTCAGGTGACCAGTCAAGATCACCCCAAATAGTGGCACCACCTTTTGGAATCATTGACATGGTTGAATCCCATGTGCGTGACATCCTCATTATATGTTGCAATGTCTGAAAGCCAAATAAATCTTTGTCCAAGACACCAGGTGCAATGGCCCTGCAGAATGAGGCATGTTATAGAAAATTCACCATATACAAGATCAATGTTGGTATACATATAAATTAAGATCATCAGTCAAGCCCAGATAGTTGAATAAACTGTGTCAAGTATGTCCATAATAGCAAGAGCCTCTAGAGAAGCAATAGCATACTGTCCTTCAGTAATAAAAGAGCCATTTCTCATCTCAAAAATACAAAACGATAAAAATAAAGCAGATTTAAGTATAAAAGTTGAAAAGAGCTGAGTATAAAGCAACAGAGATATTAAAAATTTGACAAAGGAAAGAAACCCAACTGATTTTGACTGTATTAGTGACTAGTCTCTACCAAAAAAATTATTGACAATTATATCACAATGTGAAAGTTTATGCCTTTAATAAATAAAAGACCAAGCATTCAAATCAGTTATGGTTTGTACTTGAGAAAATAACTAAGACAGACGATGTATAGAAATTAGAATGTGAAAATATGCCATTCAAAAACCAAGAATTCAAATGTCAGTGCAACAAAAAAAAAATAACTTCCTCGGAACACTACTCGTAGCAGAATACTATTTTTGCACATAAAAATAGTTTCTCCCAGTTAACATGCATTGCCAATGTTTCAAGTTACGGATTAGGGGAATTTTTGTCCAAGCTGTGTTATAAAGTAGGCTATTGGAGTAACACCTTTAGGACATCTTGGAATGTCATCAAGGAACAGACTTTGACAGAGAAATAAATGGAGTTAAATAGGTAGTATTATTATGATCATGCTCTATGGGGAAAATGTTTGATATGATGTAATTTTTCTGCAAGTTATGATTTCCCTGTTTGAAGATTGTTTACTGTTTTCCCTCTGCAAAGATTGTTTATTGGGCCTAGCTAGTCATACTCATCTTTAAACAAGCCATAAGAAGCTTACTACTCATTAACTACAGTAGAGTTAAACTAGATAACCTGGCGACTGCAATATCCTTCGCTTCAGCAGAGAAAAGTCCAGAGACAGCTTTTGGAACGCCTAAAAATGGTCCACCAATATTCATCACTGCCTTGATATGCTTAGCACACCAATCTGGACCACCCCCACCACCCATTGGAGCTGGTGCCTCCACCCACTTCATAAAATGCAGAAAGTACAAAGCACCCATGGAATGTGGTATAATAACTGCCTTGTTTCCACCATTTGTTGCAACCATGAGTTCAATATTACTTTTTATGCGGCTTAAAGATTGGTCACGGACCTGATTAATTGAATTCAATGAAAGTAGCAAGTTAAAAAAAAAAGATACCACCAGCATATACAACACGAATGATAAAATCAACTTCCTAGAAGAAAACCTCAGTATTCTGAAATGAAAGCCTCCAATCATATGATGCCATGTACATTGTCTTCTCCTCATATCCAATGCGTGCCAAATTAGCAATCAAAACTGCCCAAACAAAATATCCAGGAGCAAAGTAATCGGCTGCCACAAGTCCACAGACAGGCCTGACCCTTATACCTGGAGGATCCAATCCAGTTTCATTGTCCAGTGACATATGTTCCACCCAGCAGAGAGGCCTATAAAACATCCAAGAATAAAATGAAGAATCAGCTGACGAAGCACGAAAGGCATGTGTGGAACTTCATGAGTTCACAGATAACTAACAATGTGAAAGCTGGCATGATATACAGGCTGAACCAGAAATGTTGTGCACTAAGAATTTCTTTAAGATTATTGATCCAGAAAGCTGTTGCCTTTCTCTTTCTCCATGGTGTAGCATGTAGAGTATAAGCTCCAAGCTCGCCAGGAAAGGAGCAAGGTCGTTTACTCAATGTATCAGTTAAAATGATGAAACATGACCATTTATCATTGGAACAAGACCACTAAGAAGCAATTTTAATTGCTAACAATTCACCATCTTCTTCCATTCTACATCTAAAACACCAGTCTCGAAAAAAGGAAAGTCATTAAAAATCTAAAATAGATGTCAAGATTTCCATAAATGGAAACAAGTTGACAAACAACCAAGAACCAACTTTCTTTCTCACCATTAAACTAACAAATTAATTTGTCTACTCAACAACTGACCACATTTCTTCACATGATAGTTACATCACACAAAATCAATCAGCAATATACTCACATCAATTATACTAAAAGCTCGAAAAAAGGCACGCAAAAAACTAAACCAATGACAGCCAAAGCCTAATAATAACACTTATGAACAAAACTCACGAAACATTTAACAACTAAATGGCTCTAAATTCACAAACCCCGGATTTTATATTTGGCAAAGAAATGTATAAACTCATTGAAACAACAAACCGATTCAATTTCTATCAACAGTAAGTCCAAACAAAGGAACAACCACCAATCATCCATACCTTTTATAAACTTCACCAAAAGCTCCACCCCATAGCCTTTTCCTAAACAATCCATCAGCACACTGATGCCCTTCCCACAGCTCAAGCCCTCCAGTAACAATCCCAGGAACAAAAACCACAGGATGCTTTGCCTTCAACCCTTCTTTCCTCAACTTGACACCAGGTGGATCAGGCAAAGGACCAGTGATTGCCTCAGTCACATATTGAGGCAAAGAAGCAGGCATAACGTTGTAAAGAAACAATAAAACCCACCAAGTTACGCATATGCACCCAACAAACCAGCAACAATTGTCTAAACATGTCCATTTTGGTTTGGATTTTTTGTAACTCTTCTTTACGTGTTTGTTTTTACTATTGTCTTCTTCCTCCTCCTCCTCCTCCTCCCCCTCCTCTCTTAGCACTGGGGTTTTACTGGGTTCGATAGGTTTTCGGCGACGAATTAAAGCCATTGTTTTCCGGGTTTAATTTGCTTAAAAAAAAAAACCAGACAGAGCATAGAAATCTAAGAGAGCGAAATTAATACCAGAAATAGACCGGCAGTTGGAGTTAAACTGAGAGGCAGCCAAATTAAAATTGACTTTGGTTTTGGGTCTTTGTCTTCTATTACTATGAAAAGAGAAAGAGAGCTGTAAAGTCTAAAACAGAAAAATTTGGTAACTCTTTTATGAGCGCATAAAAAGGAACACCGATTCTCCTAGAACAAGCCTGTTTGAAGAACCTGTAGCAATAATGACTTTTTAAAAATATATTAAAATAATTATTTTTTTATTTTTAACACATTAAAATAACATAAATAAATTTAAAAAATAATTCTAAAAAAACATTTTTGCACCGAAAAAAAAAATAGTTTAGATTGTCTTTTTGCGTTTTCTTCAACTTCTTCTGCTATTTTTTGTATGCTATGAATGAAGACTACAAAAGTGTAATTTTATTTTATTTTTTAAATAATAAGATATCAATTATTTTATTTTTATTTTATTTAAATAAGTGGAAATATAAAATTTCAATTATTCTTTCGTTTTTTTTCTTTTTGAAACTAATCACATTTTAATATAGATGCTTTTAAATATTTATTTTTCTTAGAATATTTATTTTTAAATTAAATGATTCTTTTAGTACAATGTAAACAGTAACCAAGGGTTATAGATGCTTTTAAATAGAATTATGTTCGGTTACTATGGTTGATTGAAGGCACATAATAATTATAGTGTTTTTAAATTTACCTATTGATGAGATGAGATTTACGATATATGAAATATAAGTGATAATAATTCATAATCATTTAAAAATGGTTTTTTCATCAAATAGATAATTCCTTTTCTTCTTTTTTTCATCAAATAGATAATTCCTTTTCTTGTTTAATATAATATAAGAAGATATCTTTATGTTAAAATTTCTATTTAATTATTCATAATTATTGTAATTGCATGTAATTAATTAAATTTTTTAATGAATAATACTTATTGGAATACATTGTTTTATATAATTAACTTATTGATATTAAAGTTCATATTGAGTTTATTTTATACTTGTTCTTACATCATTAGTGTAACCTTTTCACATTTACATAATAAACTTAGCTAAACATAATAAAAAAAATAAATGAATAACATAAGAACATAAATAAAACAAAAATTAACTAAGTAAAGGAAAGGAAATGCAATGTATAAACTTGATATTAATAAAAACAAAACTTAAACATTATAAAAATACAAATGGAGAAAGTAAAAGTAAGGAAACTAAGATGCCTAAATGCATGACAAATGCTTTTTTTTATAGAACAAAATTGAAAACTATTGATTTGATGACTAAGTGATGAATGGGTGGCCAACTCCTAACTTAGTGACAATCCTTATTTTTTCTTATCTGCCTAAAACATTATTGATAATATCAGAATTGGAAACACTTGAAAATATAAAAAATTATAGAAAATTATTTCGCTTTCTAGAATAAAAAAATAGAGGTCATTTAAACTTCTAAAACTCTAGATATGGGTCAATCACTGAAAATTATTCTAACTACAGGACAGATACACTTCTAGAACTCCAGATATGGGTCAATCGCTGAAAATTATTCTAACTACAAGACAGATGCAGACTTCTTCGTTGTTGCTATAATTTAAACTTGAAAATGACCTTTTTAAATCTTGGACTTCTATAAAAGTTATAGGCCTATATATTACCTTTTCATCCATATAAAATAAACTTAAATTCGAGATCTACAGCTTCAGATATGACCCAATTACTAAATAGTGTTTCGATTTGGACTGCACTAGCATCTCTTTTCTAAATTTGACCATCTCTTTATCCTTTCAATTTCAGTTCTTAAACTCATCAATCAATTCTTTTATTTATGTAATAAGCCTGCATTTAAAATAAACATTTATCATAAATTAAAGGCATTTTATATTATTAGATATATTAGTATAAAACATACTTTAGTTAAGAAATTATTGTTACTTCAAGTGCAAAATGATGATTTAAAACCTTGATAAAAATACACTTTTAAATACTAATTAGTAAACATGATTATTTGTTTCTCTAAGATGTTCTTTAGGTGGTTTTTGGTCAAAATTGCTTGAAAATAAATTTTTTAGGTATAAAACACTGATGCATAAACTTTGTAGTGACTAAAGGTTATTGTAATTGATTAGTACTTAAAAGTGCATTTTTATCATGGTTTTATATCATCATTTTGCATTTGAAGTATCAATAACTCCTTAACTAAAACATGTTTTATAATAATATATCTAATAATATAAGATACCTTTAATTTATGGTAAATGTTCATTTTAAATGCAGACCTATCACATAAATGAAAGGATTGATTAATGAATTTAAGAACTGAAATTGAAA